GACAAAAAAGTTGGCGAGGTGAGGTTAGCTGTGGCTGGTTCTGTTTCTCTGATCTTTCAGCGTTCACCACAAAAAAAGAAAAGAAAAAAAGGAGGCTTCCAGTTTGAGGAAACAGGATCTACTGAGAAGTTGGCAAGGTGAGGTTGGCTGTGGTTTGTTCTGTTTCTCTGATCTTTCAGCGTTCACCCCAGTACCTGGCTCTGGGTTTGTTTTTATTAATAAGGTCTTTTAAGAGTCGTGCTACAGCCTGTGGCTTCAGCTTCTTGCTAGCTAGCTCTTTCATCTTAAATTAATCCGTTTCTATAAAACCATATGCTGCCACGTGGCTGGTCCGGGTCTGCTAACATCTTGTTGCTCCGCCCCCGCCCCTCTGACCTCAGTCTTCTAGACATCCACCTTTGTCTGCAGAGTGTTTTGTCTGCATGTATGTCTGTGCATCATGTGCGTGCCCGTGTCCACGGATGTCAGAACAGATGGGACCTGGAGCTGGGGTTACAGATGGCTGTATACCACCTTGTGGGTGTTGGGATTGAACCCACTTCCGCTACAACCGGTGCTGCGCCGCCATCGCTACAGCCACCTGGCTTCATTTCTTCAAATTCGTGCATATTTGTTACGTAGCTCAGGATGACTTTGAACTTCACTTTCGAGGTGTGCCACACCATGGTTTGTGTTTTGCTTGGGACTTTGGTGTTGCTTTTTGTTTGGTTTCTTTTTCTTTTCTTTTCTTTTTTTTTTTGAGAAAGTCTCAGTAATCCAGGGTGGCCTCAAGCTGGCAGCCAGCCTCTTGTCTCAGCCTGGCAGGTACAAGTGAGGCACATCCGGTTCCCGTGCCTTTTTTTTTTTTTTTTTTTTTTTGGTTTTTCGGGACAGGGTTTCTCTGTGTAGCCCTAGCTACCCTGGAACTCACTTGGTAGCCCAGGCTGGCCTCGAACACACAGAGATCCGCCTGCCTCTGCCTCCTGAGTGCTGAGATAAAAGGCGTGCGCCACCACGCCCGGCACCCAAGAGTCTTTTAACTCGGCACAAGCAGCGTAAGGAAATTTATGGAAACTCGTATCAACCCCGAGAAGGAGAACAAGCCAAAAGGCCACGTCGGCTCCGGAAACCTCGGCTTCACTAGCGCGTTCATTCACAGGTCAGACAACCAGGAAGTCTCGCGATGCCGCCAGCCGTGGTTGACAGCTCGCACCGGGCTGCGGACTTGGGATTGGACCGCTGATTCTGAGGGGCGGGGTACAAGGGCCGTCCCTCGGCGCGATTCGACTCTCGCGACATTTGCCTCCAGTCTCGCGAGCCTTGGCGTGGCACTGGGCTGCTGGCCCGGGCCGGGAGGAGGTGGCCTTCCGTTGGTGACGTTGGGCTCGCCGGCAGGGCGTTCTCCTGCGCTGACCGGAGCTGTGCGGCCAGGTGAGGAGCTCCACGGGAGTGCGGG